AAGAAATTGAAGAAGACCTCAGGAGAAGGAAATACTGTCCATGTTCATGGATAGGCAGATTTAATATTGTTAAAATGTTCATACTACCAAAAACAATATAAGATTCAATGCAATCTACATCAAAATACCAATCACTTTCTTCACAGAACTAGAAAAAACAGTCTTCCAATTCATTTGGAAGAACAAAAGACCCAGAATAGCCAAAGCAATTCTAAAGAAGGAAAAAAGCAATGCGGGAGACATCACAATACCTGACTTCAAATTATACTAACAAAAACTGCGGGCTGGAGTTGTGGCTCAGTGGTAGTGCGCTTGCCTAGCATGCATGAGGCACTGGGTTCGATTCTCAGTACCACATACAAATAATAAAATAAAGGTCCATCAACAAATAAAAAAAAAAGAAAGAAAACTGCATGGTACTGGTATAAAAACAGACACATAGACCAATGGTACAGAATAGAAGACACAGACAAACCCCTATACACAGTTGTCTGATCCTTGACAAAGGTGCCAAAAACATATACTGGAAAAAAGATATACTGGGAAAACTGGTTATCTATATGTAGAAGAACAAAAAATACACCTTTATCTCTCAGCTTGCACAAAAATCGATTCAAAATGGCTCAAGGACCTAGGAATTTAGGCCAGAAATTTTGCAATTCCCAGGAAAAAAAAATAGGTCAACACTCCAATATATAGGCACAGGCAATAACTTCCCTAATAGGACTCCTAAAGTTGAGAAAACACCAAGAATTAGTAAATAGGATGGCATCAAATTTAAAAGCATCTACACAGCAAAGGAAACAAGAATTTGACGAGAGAACCTACAGAAGAAAATCTTTGCTAATTGCTCTTCTGACAGAGGATTAATATCCAGATTACATAAAGAATACAAAAAAATTACCACCAAAAAACAAATAACCCAATCGATACATGGGTAAATGAACTAAACAGACACTTCTCACAAGAATAAATAAAAATGGCTAAAATATTTCAAGAAATGTTCAAAATCTTTAGCAATTAGGGAAATGCAAATCAACACTACACTGAGATTTCATCTCCTGTTAGAGTGGCAGCCATCAAGATCACAAAATAGCTGGGCACAATGGGACACACACCCAGTGACTGGATATGCTGAGGCAGAAGGGTGGCAAGTTTGAGACCAGACTCAGCAACTTAGCAAGACCCTAAGCAATTTAGTGAGACCCTGTCTCACAATTAAAAAAAATAATAATAAATGGGTTATGGAGACTGGGGTTGTAGCTCAGTGGTACAGTGCTTCCCTAGCATGTTTGAGGCACTGGGTTTGATTCTCAGCACCTCATATAAATATTTAAATAAGTGCCCATCAATAATTTAAAAATATATTTTTTAAATGGGCTGGGAGTAAAGCACCCCTGGATTCAGTTCCCAGTAAGGGAAAGAAAAAAAATACAAACACTAATGCTAGAGAGGATGTGGAGAAAAAAGGAACTTCTACACTGTTGGTGGGAGTGTAAATTAGTACAACCACTCTGGAAATCAGTATGGAGGTTCCTCAAAAGATCAGGCATGGAACCATCATATGACCCAGCTATACTACTCCTTTATATTTATCCTGAAAAATTAAAGTCAGCATACAATAGTGATACACAAATACCCATGTTTATAACAGCTATGGAACCAGTCTAGGTATCCATCAATGGATGAATGAATAAAGAAAATGCGGTACATATACACCAATGGAGTTTTATTCAGCCATAAAGAAAAATAAAATTATGTCATTTACAGGAAAACTTGAGAACATTATGTTAATTGAAATAAGCCAAAGTCAGAAGGTCAAAGATCATATGTTTTCTCTCATATGTGGAAGCTACAGAAGAAAAGGGAAAAGAAAGGCAAGAGGGGGGCATCTCATGAACATCAAAATGAGATCAGTAGAAGAGAGGAAAGGCACCAGCCGGAGGAAGGAGAGGAGGGAGGGGGTAAATGTTGGGGAGTGATATTGGCCAAATTAATAAAAAATATTTTTATTAAAAATTAATAAAAATATAAATAAAACATGAAATTGAAATATAAACAACCATATATATTCTTTTTTTCTTTTTTTTTTTACCATGTATATTCTTTATAGCAACAACTGTCACTAATGAAACAAGATAAGACAATCCATCTCAAGGCTGCCACCTTGAGTTGCTGTTAGGAATTGTAGACTTTTCTGAAGTAGCTCAGGTGATTCAAAAATGATTGAAATTGGCTTCTTCTTCCAAGCTATTTACTTAAAAAAAAAAAAAAAAATCTAATCCAGAAGAGAAAAGCATACAGATAATGTAAATCCAAACAGTGCAGAATAATATAAAATTTAACATTGCCATTTCTTTTTCCTCATCTTCATCCTCTAACCCCATGTTATAAACACTTCCACTTACGTAAAAAACAAAACCTTGTTTCTTTAGAATCTACTGACTCCATACTGTCAAAATAAGAAATTTATTGCCATTTACATTATTTCTCTTACCAGCTGCAATGCCCGATTTCTGTTAATTTTATTTCCTCTAGAGGTTTTCTTTATGTCCAAATATTGTATTTAAAGCTCTTTGTCTTCATTTAGCCTTTCTAGAAATATCTACTTACTCCCTGGGATGAAGTTGAAGACATCGGTGATTCCACTTACACCATTACTCACTTGCCATTCTTTGGTAATTTAAAATTTTTGCACTGCAATGGTGAATTAATAATTAAATCATTCATATGTATCAGTTGGTTGATTTTAAAACTTAAAGACTAAAATATTCATCTACAGTATGGTTGAAATTATTACCTAGGTCACAATAAAATCATGTGAATGGATCCAAATGGAAAAATAGTCACGTAATTCTTGGTTTCCTTTTTGCCCATTAATCAAGAAAGGTCTATTAACAACACATATAAGACATATATCAATGGAGATTAAACTTGCCCACAATTAGTGGTTTACTGTTCTGGATTCCCATAATATTGTATTCATAACTCTTTAATGCCCCAAAGAATGCTGCATTATAGTTTATCAGTTGGAGTGGAAGAGGGAGAGTATTAAATCAAAGCTATGGACATTTTACATTCCCCAGAAAAAATGTACTTACACACAACATTTTGGGTATAGTCTCACAGACCACCTGGCCCAAGATTAAAAGACCTCTGCCCCAAATAGTTTCCCTTAAGGGGAGGGATCTTGTTTAGTATACATTTCTAACACGTAACTGTCCTGTTTGGCTATCAATATTTGGCAAAATTTTAAATGAACCAAATTTTCCCATTTATCCTGTTGGGGTTTCAAAGTCTACTTTTAAAACAATAAACTTTTATCTTTACAGCATGTTTTGTAGAATATACTTTGTAAAGGAATCCAAAGATAATTGGAAGTGGCTTTTAAAGTTATCAGGTTTTTTTCTTGTTTGGTACTACGGATTGAACCCAGGTATACTCTACCACTGAAACATGTCCCCAGTCCTTTTTTTTTAAGTTTATTTTGAGTCAGGGTCTTGCTAAAATGCCCATACTGGTGATAGGATTCTCCTGCCTCAGCCTCTGAGTAGCTGAGATTAAGGGCGTGTGCCACTGGCCACATAACATTAGTCTTTAATTACACCTGGGTGATCAAAGATTAAATGTTCCAAAACATGTGTGGATGGATGAGTATATGGATACTATAAGTGATAAGGCAGATAAAGAAAAGTGTTAATTGTATGGTTGGGGATGTGGCCTACCATGGACAAGGCACAGGGTTCAATCCCTCCACCACCAGTTCTGACGGGAGGGAGCGGGGCGGAGTTAACCGTAGAATCAAGGTAGTGGAAACGTGGGTTGTTCATTGTACAATTCTTTTGACCTTTTCTCAGTATTTGAAAATTTTCATAATTTCACAGGGAAAGTGACTTGCCTTACTCAAACATAGGCACAGTTTTTAGCTCTTGGAGGATATAAACTTGATCATTACTTTCGTCTTGCAGAGCTCTTTGGAGAGTCACAAATTTTCTATTGTACACTGTAAACGAGCACGCAGGTTTCCTTTGCTAGAAAATAATGTAATTAATGGAGCAATTAACTAAAATACAAGAAAGCTCAAAATATGTAATTGTTACGTGGAAAAAGCGACCATTTACACAGATTTCGGAAGAGAAGTGTATGAACTGGAGAGAAAAGGAATGGTTTTGTGACTGGACCGTCGTCGTCTCCGAGAGGGGCCAGGGCTACTGCCTGCAGCTGCACGAGGGCTGAGAATCTCGCCCTCCTTAACTGGAGAGACCGGTGCTCGCAAATCACGCCGCCCACTCGTCAGAAACGGGACGCTCCTGCGGCTGAGCGGAGCGACGACGGGGGCATCACAGCAGTGAGGGAGACTGGGAAGAACCCTGGCCACAACTGACCTGCGAGACGAGGTTCCCGAGGCTTCCTACATCTGGGGGCTGTTGTGATATAACAGGGAAGAGCCGCAGCAGATTTATTACCCCTCACCCGACAGTCTTAATTGTGACATGAAGGAGGAAGCTGGGCCAGCTGCCTCAAAATCTCCTCGGTCTAGAGTACCGTGGGAAGATCTGAGACAATCACCCGGGCTCTGACCAGCGCCCTCGGAACAGAATTCGTTAAAAACATCCTAGAGCTCGCTGGACGCCGGCGATTCTGCGCATGCGCGAGGATGCTCGCCCGCCCCACCCTCCCGAGGTGAATGGCCTATCCCATTCCTGAGGGATGCTGAGGGTGGGAGAGACTTGGAAGCCTGGACCGGAAACTGCAGGTACGTCACTAGTTATTTACAGACCTTAACTACACGAATGATAATTTGTGATTATTTTACTTCAACCTCGATGATTGCGACAGACTTCTGAACAAAGTGAATTTGTTACGGTTCCACCAACTAGTCTCCCCCTCTCACCTGGGAGCGTTAGGGCTGGCTGGCGTGACGGCCAGGTACGGAAGCCTAGAGGGCCACGCCCACCTCGACGGGGCCCCGCCCCGCCTCGCCTCCCGCACCCGGCAGGTTCCCCACCCGGCAGCGCCGCCCGGCAGCTCCTCCTCGTCTCCGCCCCGCCGGCCGCGGGCGCGGGGGACGTCAGCGCTGCCAGCGTGGAAACCACCGCCGGGCCCGGGAGGCGGAAGTAGCGCCCGGGACTGCCGGGCCACCCACCGGACTCCGCCGGCCGCCTCAGCCATGGACGCGTCCCTAGAGAAGGTCCGTCGGGCGGGTAGGACGGCGCTGTGGCCCAGGCCCCCGCCTCCGGGGTTACTGTTTCCCCGCGAGCTGCCTCTGTGACCCGGGAGGGGCCGGGGGCTAACCGGCCGCCGAGGAGGTCTGGCCGCGAGGGCGTGCGGCCGGGCCTGGCCACGTCACGGCCGGGTTCTGCTGCAGCCGACCTCAGGGCCTGCAGAGGTTCCGCGAGGGGCCGGCCTGAGCCTGGGCAGGCCCCTTCGGGTGACGGCGGCTACCAGTTTGGACCCCACAAGCGCCAGGAAAGAAGCCCCAGTGGTTTCGAAGCCAATTGCAAGGTTTTCTGTGATTTCCAAGTTCGGAAGAAAATTGTTAAGAGCAGTGGCCTTGCAACTTCAGCGTGCACAGGGCCCTTAGTAAAAACACAAAATTTCAGCCCTAGGGTGTGAACCTCTGGGGGGTTGGACTCGTATTTGCATGGTTAACAAGTTCCCCCACGTGATTCTGATTTTTGAACCCCGGGAAGGGACCTCGGGGGTCTAAAAAGGGGTGGGTATTTCATAGTGAATTTACTTTCGGGGATTGCAGCTGCTCCACAACTTCTTGGCTCCTCCCTTCTGGTGTCCAGAAGAGACCTTGGCGTCAACCCCCCCCATCCACCAGCTCTTTACCCTGATTTCCCTTGGAGAGAACAGCAGCGTGATGTACCAGGCTGATTGCTCTGGCGGTTGAAATGGTCTCTAATTGTCCCGATCTAGGGCTTGTAAATGAGAACAGGTGCTTGGGTTTCTTAATGGAGCCCTGCCTTCGGTGCCTGACATTGTCTTTCCTCAGAGCCCTATTCTTTCCAGCTTGGGATTCTGTTTGTCCAGTTTGATGCAGACAAGTTTTTCTTACATGTGGAATTCAGGAGCAATTCTGGTGTTTTAAGATTGCTTCCTTTTAATGTTGAGTGGACAGAAATAACATACTTTGTTTTCAAAGCAGCAGCTGCCATAGATTTGTTCATTTGTCACTGAGAATTGAAGGCAGAAATTTGTAGAAGTTGAGCCAAATAGCTTCACAGGCACACAGTGGTATAGCCTGTTCCTTGGTTGTTTAAAATAAATTGGATGGAAGACAAGAAAAGGAAAAGATAGTATCTTTTTCTTAAGTATTCTGATTAGCACAATGCCTACCTGTTAGAACTTCGAATTTCATTCAAGATCAGTGGTTCTCAACCATGAGCAATTTTGTTCCCTGAGGGTCAGTGGCAACAAATGAAGATATTTTAGATGGTCACAAGGTGGGGGTGGGATGATGCTAAACTTCTCCACTGCGCAGAACAACCACCCACACCGGAGAATTATCTGACTCAAGATGTCAGTAGTACTGAGCCGGAGAAACCCTGGTCAAGATCATGTGTGTAACATAGTAGTTGAATATAAAATGATGCTAAAAATGTCTCTTCTGTGTTGCTTCCAATTTCATAAGAAGGTGAGGTGGGCTTTGTGTCTTTCAGTTAGAAACCTGAAAGAAATGGGGTGATTTTTTTCTCCAAAAATAGCTCTTCATAAGCAAATCTGCAAAACAGAGTGGGTTGGAATCCTGCTTTAAATATTACTTTTCTGACATTTGATTAGTAGATTATGGTGGATACTCCCTAAATGTTAATTGATGATAAAAGATCTTAAACTCTCCAAATGAAGACCTGAAGAGGTACTGGAACTCCAGCATGGTTAAAGGTGGGGTTGTCACAAAAATTGCACAAAACTTAGGAATTCAGAATATGTAGACTGGAAGTTTTTGCCTTAGGCCAGTGTGAAAATTCTGAATGTAAGTTTTTTAGAGCTAAGATTGTGTTTCTTTTTTTTTAATTTAATGAAATAATAGGAAATTTAACTTATAATGAACAATTTCTGTTAATGTTCAGTGGGTAGAAAAGAAAAGGTATTGCCATATTATGAATTCTGATGCCTTGTGTTCTGAAAAATAATTTGAATCAAAGTGAAACATTGAATTGTGTCCATTATTCCCGTTTCTTTGAGGAATAGACTATTCTGGGTTAATTTCTGCACTGCTAACATAAATTTGAGAGCTATCTCAACAGTTCTGAATGATCCCATTTAAATTGATCTGTGCATAATTTATATGGCTGTAGAAACCACAGTGTTATTTCATACTCACCATCTAAAGTTTCAAGTACTATCTCAGAGAGGGGGTATGCTGTCATCATTTAGTAGAATCACTCCTTACATTTCCTTTGGTTCAAATATAATTCTGTACCCTTGCTCTTTCTTGGGGTAGTATGTAAACGTGCAGCCCTGCCATGATAGAACCACTTTCTTATACTGATATGTTTTTCTTTCATAAGAGTATCAGCTTTCTTGTATCTGAAATGAGGGATGTCTTAAGAAACCATGTAGCTTGATTGAGAGGGCAAGGGATTCAAGCAGGAGAGTAGGAGTAGGGCTGGGGTCTTGAGCCTTCAGTACTCTATGTCCAACTTAAAACAGGGCCCTGTAGAATAATCTCACAGTGTTTACTTATGTTAATATTCAAGTGAAAAAATGCCACAGGAAGTAATTACTAATGGTTGACAATCTTAATAAATTATTCACCACATAACACATAGTACACTTTCCAGTAAGGTCTGCAACTTTATACCTTTTCCTGTTACTTGAAAAATCTCTTCCTGGGTATTGTGTTTAAACAAGGTGTATTGCAGTTTGCCTTGGGTTTACTTTATTTTTTGCAATACTGGGGATTTGAATCCAGGGCATTTTACCTCTGAGCTACATCTTTACCCTTTTTATTTTCTATTTTGAGACAAGATCTATATCTCACTAATGGCCAAGACTAGCCTTGAACTTGTGATACTCCTTCCTCAGCCTCGTAAGTAGCTGAGAGTACAGACATGCTACCACACCCGACCCTTGAATTTACTTTAATTCCATCCTTGAGCAAACATTGGACAAAGTTTGCCAACTTCAGCATTCCTGACCTTTTGGGCTAGGTGATTCCTTGTTGTGGGGGCTGTCCAGTGTATTGCAACATGTTTAGCAGCATCCTTGACTTCCCACTGTCCAGATGCTAGTAGTACTCTCTCCCCGGAGTTGTGGCAACTAAAAATGGTTTCTGGTGGAGGCCATTGTCCACTATGGATGGAAAGAATTGCCTCTGGTTGAAAATCACTGAGAGAATCTAGAGCTGAGCTGTGCTTTGCAGAGCCAGTAGGCCCTGTGACCAACTTGATTCTAGATTAACTAAATTTTGATAAAGTTTTAAATTCATTTTCTCACTTATACTAACCATGTTCCAAATGCTCAAGAGCCATGTTTCTTGTGGCTGCCTTACCAGGTGGCACAGGTATTGTGTGCCACCAAAGAAAAATCTACTGAATAGCACTATCGAGCTGGACAATTTGTTATATTTAATTCTTGTCTCAAGAGGCAACTTGAACTGTTTTTTACTTACATAATTACAGTTTACACCTGTAATCCCAGAGGCTTGGGAGGCTGAGGCAGGAGGATCATGAGTTCAAAGCCAGTCTCAGCAACTTAGCAAGGTCCTAAGCAACTCAGTGAGACCCTGTCTCTAAATAAATATTTTTTAAAAAGCTGGGATATGGCTCAGTGGTTAAGTACCCCTGGGTTCAATCCCTGGTACCATAATAATAATAATTACAACTCAACCCATTTTTGTTTCTTGTTTTCATCATAAACTAAGTTGTTTGGGTTTTTTTTACCCCCCTTCCTTTGGGTCTGATTTTGGAAAATCTTTTATCACCTTGCTGTTATGCTAGAAATTTTGAAGGAGCAGCATGAATGGAACATTCCCAATCTTTACTTGCTGATAAGGCCTGCCAGAATTCCTATCCCTGCTCTTAAAAGTATGAGAGAAGAGCCCCTATTAGGCAAGCTTGCAAAGATCAGTTTCCTTGTGTGCCTTTGCAGAGTCCACTTCTCTGTGTAGAATGGGAGGTGTTGTAGGCAGACCTGACAAACTCTAATTTTGACTTTTTTTAAAAAATTTTTTAATATTTATTTTTTTAGTTTTCAGTGGACACAACTTTGTATGTGGTGCTGAGGATCGAACCAAGGCCGCACGCATGCCAGGCGAGCGCGCTACCGCTTGGGCTACATCCCCAGCCCCTGATTTTGACTTTTGTTTAAAGTGGATCTCTGCATCATTATGAAGTGAGGGTTTTGCATACAGGTACAGGGTGGCTGTGTCAGTAATGATTACCTAATGGCTGGGCATTGGAGCAAACTGATGGGACTTTACTGTGACACAAAGTTCCTCCTCCTAAAAACTTAAAACCTTGGTGATTCTTGATTTATTCAGGATTACAGAGCTGGTTCCCAGTCCCATGTGTGCTCTATTATATCCAAGATTTTGAGTTCTAATTATAGGTAGGAGTTGATTGACCTTAGTTGTGTCTGACTTCACCAAAAGCAGAAAGCTGTTTTAATTCACACTTTTTTATTAGCTGAAGGTCAGCTATGGTCAAAACCCCAGTGCTAGGCACTGAGACTCCAGATGATTAAGACATGATGCCTCCAGGAAGCAATGTTTGTAAGGAGTATACACATTTTAAGACAAATTCTTGAATAGCAAGGAGAGGTAAAACTAGCATGACTTAAGAAACAAGCAGGTGTGCATGGAGATTTTTGTGGAAGAGATTGTTTAAGTAGAATATTTAGTTTGGAGTTACACTTTTTCTAGAGTTTGCTTTAATTGTAAATGCGTACATTTTTACCTTATGATATAACTGTCCTCATATTATTGTTGGCAAAATATGAATCGAGACAGAAAAGCCATTTCACTTCTTTTTTTTCCAAGTTTTTTATTCTTTTTAGTTATATATGACAGTAGAATGTATTTTGACATACACATACATGGAATTTAACTTCCCATTCTTGGGATTGTACATGATGTGAAGTTTCACTGGTCATGTATTCATATTTGAACAGAGGAAAGTTATGTCTGACCCCCCTCCAACTTCCTGCCTATTGAGAGTCAGTATCCATATATCAGAACAT